GACAAGTGAGGAGGGGACCTCCGCTTGATGGCAGGAGGGTGGCAGCCTTTCTGCTCAATCCGGGGCAGCTCTCCAAACCAGCGGGGGGAAGGCCGGCCATAGCAATATGGCTCGTCATTAAGCTGCTGACAGCCAAGTCAAAATTACCACCAAGCATCTTTAAAGCAATGCAGATGAAACTGGGTGAAATCTAATCTTCTCTTTAAGACTCTAAATATCTTTCCTGAAAAAGCTGCTCTAAGTATTCTTCCCCCTGTGAGGAGAGAGGGAAGGGAATTCCTACCCTACCCTCTAAGAACAGCGGCGACTGACTACCCAGGGGAAACAAAGCAACTATAAAAACAACTTTAATCTAATTGGATGCATATACTTTTGAAATGTAGAGACTAGAAGGTTTTCCTAGAAGTTTTCTTATTCCTATTTCTACTGGATACGCTGATTTTTATTTAAAAAGAAAAGAAATAAACTTTGAAAAACTGTTATAAACTGGGGGGGGGGGACTTAAAAAGTTTTAAACGGCATCGGTGACATCTTGTGGCGAAGTTTGGGGTTACAACTTGTTGTTGCCTAAAAGAGACTTGGCTTGAAGCCCAGACTTTAGATAAGACTCTTTTGACCTTGATACCACTTGTGAACTATAAAGAGAACATCTGGGTGGCATAACTGGCCTCTTGAACTATGAATATAAACCTTTACTGACTTTCCGGGGTTGGACTAGAAGACCTCCAAGGTCCCTTCCAATATATTTATTTATTTATTTATTTATTTATTTATTTATTTATTATTATTATTATTATTATTATTATTATTATTATTATTATTATTATTATTTGTATTAATTATTAATTGTTAATTATTAACTATTAATTGTTAATTATTCCTTGCAAATATTTCATTACCCAATCTAAGTAACATCATCAGTGCCAACAGTTTTAGTCCTTGGTGCACTTGGTATTGTTATTTCATTACCAAGAAAATGTTAGGCTTCCATCTCATCATGCACAATTATTCCCTCGTCTGTGATTAAACTGAAGCTAAAATGCAGAGATTGTGTCTCTGCCCACTGTGAAGTTCTGACATAATGAATGAAATATTCAAATGGGGTTCTTAGAAATAGCAGAGCTGAGCTGTATCAGTCCGGATAACCACTTGAATGCAGCACAACACTGGAATTGCTAAAGGGATTGTCCAATCTTGAAGTCAAATCTGGTACTTCTGCATTTTATAGCAGGGATCTCTTTGGGATCTTCTTGCTGTGGCAACAAGCAGAAAATCCTCTCTCATCCCTCCTCTGGTGACAAATGAAAATATGCCTCTTCACTTCTCCATTTGTAGGGTAACACCTGTTCAAGCTTACATTCATTTCACCTTTTCCCCATGAGTTCAAGTTAACTCTGGAATGGTTAATAATAATAATAATAATAATAATAATAATAATAATAATAATAATAATAATAATAATAATAATAATAATAA